GTGGAAATGAGTATTATTTATTCTGAGGACCGGGCTTGTGTGTATCACTTATAATATTAAATAAAGTATTAGGATATTTTTTTTTTATATATTATAAAATCCGTTGGCACTCATAATACGATTGAGTTTTTATTTTTTATATTAGTTCGAATGCAGCTGAGTACAGCACTACTAAAGATTTTCTTTTCTATTAAAATCATGATTCATAAATAGTTTTCACATTAACTCAGTGGAGAGAAATAAAAGTACATAGTATTTTTGCCATGAGCGCTGTGATAGACTGCATTCCCTCACCTAGAACTTTGCACTCTGCGAATAGCTTTAAAAAAATAAATATAGTTTTTTGTTATTAGTGTCTTCGCAATTGAACATCAAGGTAATTTTAACTCAAATATTGCGAATATTTTGCTATTAATAAAATTAATAATTGTGTTTCATATTGAGATCCTTGACAGTTAACCAGTTCCTTGAGCTTTCTACAGTCGCACTGTAGAAAAACGGTGTGATGGTAATTCAGCTGATCGACGACGTTTAGCCGTTTAGCCAAATTAATGGCGCTATTCTATTATAGGGCTAACCACCTAATTGGACTGATGTTTTATCCAGTTGGCTAAGACATATACCTATACATATTTTAAATTGATCTCAATATTGTTTTCAATTAACCTCCTACTGTACAACTTTTATTATATTGTTATATTTTTGTATTTTTCTTTATGTGTTTCCACTACCAGCCCTTTTACGTCCTCACTGCAGGGGCTCAGGCCTTCCTCATGGATGGTTGAGGAGGATGGGCCATGACCCTCCACGCTGGCCCAATGCGGATTGGAGGGCATTAACGACTGCAAATGCAGCCGGGACCAACGGCTTAACGTGCCTTCCGAAGCACGGAGTAGCTCGAGATAATAATTTTTTGGTCACCCATCCTGTGACCGACCCTTGCGAAAGTTGCTTAACGACTACGATCGCGGGCCGCGGCGCTTATCCACTACGCCACCGAGCTACTAAATGTTGTTGTGTGTTTATTGTGCAATAAAGTGTCAAATAAATAAATAAAACCACGACAAACGGTTGTGTCTATTTATTTGGGTAAAATGGTTTTGGCTTAGTTTTGGGGTCTGATATTCTCTTATTATTCGTATAATGTATTGAGCTACAAGGAGAATTTTAATTATTCCATTCTAATATTATACATGCAAAAGTAAGTCTGTGTATTTGTTTTTTACGCTCTCATGTCAGTTATTTTTTAGTGATAAAAGTGTTCTAATTTTATATTCAGGCATTTTACATGATAAAGTGAACCTAAAGTGAATAAATATTTGCTTTAGCGTTTTTGAAAATGCTGCCCAAAGTAACTATACCACATGGACGAAGTCGCGGGCAAAAGCTAGTTTAATTTATAAGATAAAATATTCTTATTCACAAACAGCGAGTAACTAAGCCGTGGAAGTAAAATGTGTAAGATTAAATAAACCTTTAATAACATGATCAGTCTTTTGTTTAACTGCCCACATTCACTAAAGGGAATGTCATTTCCACTTGTGCGAACGTTACCTGGCACTGTTCAAGCGCTTTCTCTTGCAAATTACCATGGAAGGTCTTAGTAAATGAGCCACAGTGGCATTCGACTATTTGCAAAGTGGAATGGACACTGAGATGTCACAAAAGGATAAAAGAAACCTGTGAGCCGCACGACACGACAACGGTATAGGTGTCCATAAATGAACCGCCCGTTAAATTTATACAAATTTAGAATTAACCAATAAAAATGCTTGTATTGACACATGGCTACGCGTTAACGTATACTATTCGTCATTTAAATTTCAAATTGAAAGAAGAGACGAAGAAAAAGGATATTTTTGGCGGTAACCAGAAATGGTCCCATTAGGTATTTTTAAGTTAATACTAATTTTTATTTAAAATCAAAATAACGGTATATTACAATTATTTCCACACTCGTTACTCATTAAATTAATCAACTTTTGAACTGATTTACGCATCGTTATAATTTTATATCACTATTTACAATATGATGCTTTATCTGATAACTACATCAATTAGTCAATATTGCTCCTTCACATTTATAAAACTTTTCATATCATTTCGTAGCTGCTGCTTCACATGCGAAATAAAAGGAATAATATTCAAAGTTACTAGGTAATCTTAAAACAGATAATTATTGTCTAAGTAGGTCTATGTGGTTTGTAATATTCTATGACATTGAAGACATCGTCTTGTATAACTATAATAATTATGCGGTCACTAAATCCAAGCAAGTGTGTTAGTTCAGAAGTTTCTCGAGTGATTCACGAATACCTCCGATGTGTTCTATCAGTGAAGCGGCCAGGCCGTTAATTGTTCTAAGTACCATTATCCCTGCAGTAGTCTAATGTAATAAATAATAATGTATATATAGTAGGTCTAGGGTTTTCTTATTTTAAAATCTGGAATATGGTAAAATAGTCTTGTGATTATTCATTTTCAGAGTGGCAAGCTAATCTAAACAAGCGGTCCGCCAAAATCTTTACAGTTTCCGCTACCTATAATATACATAGTATAAAGTTCCTTTCCGCTGTTTGTATGCTGAAATCTGTTTTCATCAACGTACAGAGTTATTCAATAAGAAAATTTATATGTATAGGTAATACTGGACTACACGGGCAAAGCAGCTGGCGGAATGCTAGTTATACTAATAATATTTATTTATGGTCATTTCTTGATTTGCAAATTGTTAGTAGATTTTAATTTTCCTTACACTTTATTGTTTTATATTAACTATACTTAGACCCGAATAAATTTCTATAGGGTCTTGGGAGTTTAATTGTCTTTTCTCACGTTAAGCTAAGTAAGTATTGACCACATTCTCTTCGAATATTTTATGAGTCTAATGTCGAAGTAATGAACCGTGCTATTGCACCATTACAAATTACTAATGACTTTACCCATAAGCGATTAATATTAACTGATAAATAGAAACAACCGGCTCCTAAAGGGTTCTGGTTTCAATTACTAATAAAATATTTGTTTATTAAGCTACGTATGGCTATTCCATAAGATATATACGTAAAGAAAATTTTATTTGCTTGCTCGAAAATGTTACATGAATTAAATAGGTGTGGAGTTAGGTGTTATGAAATTATCCAAAAATAGTTTTACTTATTAATTGTGTTTTGAAACAAAATTTTTAAATAATGAATTAATATCTCTGAAACGTGTTAACAACAAGCTGATTTTTAGTAAAAAAAGTAAATCCGAAATCAGCGAGTTGTGTCTCTAAATTCTGAGTTTAGAACTAAATGTACATTTAATTTTATCGTAATATGGAGTGGAGGTGCGACTAAAGCGGTGTGTCGATATCTTTATTAATTCCTCGCGCTTCTTATCGAGCCGACGCGTGTTGAAAAGTGGTAACGAAATGTTGAGTGCATGCGCCCACGCATGCCCCTGATCGCGCGCAGCTATGCGGTTCGAGTACAACCGTCCCACAAACTACGGTCAAAGTTAAACTATTCAATCCAGCCCTTCACACCCACGTAATAAGAACTAACGGTTTTGTAATTTGTAATCTCGTTCGCAAACCCACGTGATACGTATATTATCTTATCTACCTGCTGTTCTATTTTCTCACATTGTCGGATGGTGATTTTGAAACAACCTGTATTTCTACGGCTTCTGGCAAAAAAACGTCATGTTTGTTATTGTTCCTCATAAAGTAGGTAACTTTTAATAGTTGTTTACTTCCTTTGGTAAGTGACTTAACTATATAGTTACAAATTCAGTGGCACCGCACTGTAGCGATACGCGACGTGACCAACATTTTGAGTAGAATAATCGCTAACCAGAAACTCTCCCGCCCTCGGCCTCAAAGTTATCGAACCAATCATTATTCAATTTCACTCGAATTATCTGGATGGGATCTCGGCATGTTTGCTACATAAATTCTAAGTGTCGACATTTTTTCAACGCCTCATGCACTCAAATTGATTTAAAGACGTTAATGCGTGTAATCTGTTCATGAAATATTGTATAAATGATTCTAATCCATTTAGATTGATAATGAGAAATAGATTTATGGTGGGACCTGATAGCCGATTTACTTTCATCGTGATTCCCAAATTTTATGATTAAGATATATCAAATTGCCACATCCGGTAGAATAATATTGTAAGAAATTGAATAAAATTAAAAACTTTATATTTGATGTTACTTTTTACTCTTTTCAGTTTTATGGGCGTACAATCTAAAAATATATATATATTCTCTAATCCTAATCTGCCAAAGCTTCTTCTTCTGGAAATTTGAAAAAATTAAACATAAATACAATGTAAAACGAAAATATTTGTATGCCTTTCCAAAAATTAGAAATTCTCTTAATTAAAACAATTTTGAATTACCTATGTCGTCAATGTCTGTACTGTTGCGGTATTGCAAGGAAGTTCGATCGAGAGGGGACTACGTGATCCGGATGCAAATGGCAGTAGGACACTGCCTAGCTTTTGTACAACCTAGAAATAAAATCGATGTAGCTTTTACATAGTAAAATGTTATTGACGTACTTTGTAGTTGTTTGTTGGTAATGGTTTATCCAAATGTTTCGAGAACCGGAGGTTGATTCGCTTATTCTACTTGTTGTTTTTGTTAAAAAGAAGTTCTGAATGGGTAGTAGGAAAAGATTTACAATTCAAAAGTTCTTTCTTTCTATCTACTCAATGACACATTTCTGAATTTTCAAAAAATTCCCAATACTGTGTTCGATTTTCTCCATTATCAGTCTATATTTATTTATTTGTGAATTATATACAAACAAACCTATAAAACACAAACATATTTAAAGTATTATGAGTGGACTATAATCTAATATTAATGTACAAAACATGAACATTTATAAACAGACCCTATTTTCAGCGTTGAACGTACGAACTTGACATGTGTACCATGGCTATACTAAATTATTATTACAATTAAACATAAATTTAGTAAACTTATCTCTTTATTTACAGGACAGAGCAAGATTTTCAGACACGAGCTGGCAAATTCATCGAACATGGGCACGGAATGGCGATCCGCTCCCGCTGTCGCCACCGCCCGGGCGTGCGGTGCCCGCTCCGCTTCCCGCCGGCGTTGCCGCTTCAGCGATGCAACCTCTACGGTCCGATCAAAACAGCATCTACGATACTATAACGGTAAGTCAAATTTAATGACATGGTAATGACTTATTCATTCACGAACGCATATCAACACGCTCACATCTTTGAGAAGAATTGATATTATCATTTCTAAATAACAAAGTAATATTTTAGCTACTTACTGACTAACGTTGCCTAAACCACATTTTGTTTTTAAAAATAAACTTTTTTAAATATAGTATGGCACCGATAAATACTGCTCACGCGACTAATTATACATTAAAAAAATTCTATTATAATAGTTTAAGCACACATTATATGTATAATCAAAGATACTATATCGTTTATGTGTATCTGTTATACTAATTGCGTGTGATCTGAAAACTTTGCTTCGGTAATGAAAACAAATGTCATCAATTATAATAGTATTTTAGTAATGAATATTTTTTTAATGAATTTTCCATATATTCGAAAATTATATTGTGACTTTACATCCTCGAGAATTATATTCTTTATTATGTTGTGCATTTGCAATGCACCGGAATAGCTAAAGAGGAAAAGTTTCATATTATCTATATTTTATATTTATGTCTAAACGTATGTCAAACATTATTAGTAATTTGCCTTATACATTTATTTTTGCCATATGCGATCAACAGGCACGTATGACAATGTCAATATTCACGTGATTCTGACTGCTTTATCATAAAACACTTTTTTATTTAATGTTAACCTTGCCCAACGATATGCAAACAAAGTATTTGATATTGATTAATAAATAACATTAAGTCCGCCATTCACGTATTATTAATTATTCAATAAAACATAAATAAATAACGTAAATGGCCAATTACGGGTTGCATTCATAACATATTGCTTATTTTATTATGCAGTAAGACTGGACTACTAATAAAACTATGCGCTTAATTCTCAATATTTACGACACTCAACTGCACTGCTATCGCACTGGCACATTGTCCCGCTTAACAGATGAGTTACATGATATGTGTTGTTGCTATGATCATTAGGGCTACAGTGTCTTTGCATAAACAAAATAATTAACTTGCCATGCGCTACAGATGAACAGCAGCTTGCTTGTTATAAGAGTTCCGTACCTATCCAAGGGGAAAACGGGAACCCTATACTAGCAATTCGCTGTCTTTCACTAGGTTGTATCTCATGGATCGTGAAAGTTAGACAGTTGAAATTTTCACAGATGATGTATTTCTATTGCCGCTTCAACAACAGATATAAAAACCAGAATAAAATAAATATTTAAATGGGGAGCCCACACAACAAATATAGATTTTTTGCTGTCACCAGACTGCATCTCATGGACCGTGATAGTTTTAGACAGTTGAGATTTCCACAGATGATGTGTTTCTGTTGTAATAATGAAATAAATTAAATATTTTAGGGTATGGAACCCTTCGTGCACAAGTCCGACTCCGACTTGCCGACTTGCCTGCCTTTTTATAATAATGAAATAAACGTCAAGGTTTAGGAAATAGCCTCAACTTTTAAACTTGACATTGATTTAATTTAAACCCAGTTACATTAATTTGCTATTAAAGCAGATTTGTTTTTTTGTTTTATTTTTTTACGTCGTCTATTTTAATGATTAGTGTTGTAAATGTTTTTGGAAGAATAATTTATCAAGTTTATTTGTTTTGACTTTAATTTATCAAGTTTATGTGTTCTTTCCCAAAAATAACATAATATTGTTAGAGTGCTACGCTTCTCAAATGTATGGCAGTAGTGATGACGAAAATAAAAACTCTCAATAATTTTACACAAACTCTTTAGTTTGAAGAGTTCACGATTTTAAATAAATAAATATACTTAATAACTATCCGATAAACACAATTCTTCGTCAAAGAAAAATCACAAAAGAATGTTCAGGAATCCGATACTATCTATTATAGTTATTATTAAAATTTATTTTACACAATTTGTAGTTTTCCAGTACCTATTTAAAGATATTATAGTAGTGAATTAAGAAAAATTATCGGTTCAGAGAGTATACTATCGATGTAAGTATATCCTTATTTATTACTAATTTTATAATTGCCAGAGTGTTTCAATAATCTATGATGATGAACTCTTGATGTGAATGTGAAATGTCTATTTTTATGTTAGTGGTGGATATATATAAATAAATAATTGTGGAATACTGTATGTATGTGTAGCGGGCTCCTCACAAATGAATGTCCATTTTTATTTACATAAGAAAATGAATGAGTACTCAAAGTCAGCATATAATTTTAAAGGGAACCAATTCTTTATGTATTATATTTATAGAAACTTATACCTTTAGAACTGGGTTTGTTCCTATTAGGGTTATCGCCTGACTAACTCTGTATATCAACTTTGGTTCAGTAAAATCGAACTGTCATCTTTGAATTGCTAACTGGTTCATCTAAATAGTTAGACAGGCACTTATGCTATATTTTTCCTATCATTAAAACTATGGCACATTTCCCAAAACAATTACTTATAAAATCCACGAAAACTAGTTTATTGTGCTTCAATATTATATTTTCACTAGCTTTTTAACAGTGGCTTCGTCCGGGTGGTTCCTAAACAACCGTTTAGTGGAATAAAAAGCCTATAAGTAGTCTAAGAGTTATTTCAGGGTTAAAATCCGTTTAATAGTTTTTACGTTAAACAGTGACAAACACGAATATATTTGCCTATTTATTGTTATCGATAATCTTTAAAAAATTCCAAATAACATTTTAAATAATAGTAGAATAGTTACACTAACGCAATTAATGTCCTATTGTATGCATTACTCATGAGAACATAATATTACCTATTAACTTCCAGTAAGAGGTGCGTATATAGATGAGATAATATTACAGTAAGTTAATCTACCTAATTAATATTAATGCAATCCATATAACGATTTCTGACGTACTTTAAAAATTATACTATTCGGGATATGTTGGTTATTAATCTCTTGCAATCTGCATTTGTAGATGTAAATGTCACTCAAGTTTTATACAAAATGCTATTTATAACTTTCGTTGACTTTAGCCTTACATTCTCTGGCATTATATTTCAGTGCAGTCCAGAAAAATAAATGAAACAAAAGGGTGGTTGGCGGGCCGTGGTATTAACTCGTCAGCCGTGCGCTTGCGCAGCCGTGCACACAACAATCGCACGCGACAACCAGTCTAGGATAGAATGAGCCTTGAACTTGGAATTGCATTAGAGAAAATACTTGCAGTAAAACAACTCCCAAAAATACACTGTATTTCTAGTACTATTTTGATATTTATCTTAATGAATAAACAATGATATAAATTATACAATATCATGTATATTGATCAGATCCGGAATTTAGTAAGCACTTGTATTGTGGAAATTTGAAACAACGCAGGTAACATACTAATACCTGAGACAATATAAAACGAACCAACTCGAAATCGAACCCTGAGATGACTATACTTTAAAACCGACGTGCGATTTGCTCGACCATGGTGGTCGTAAGAGTAATAAAAAAAAACATCGTAAGTCAAGGTGGATTGCGATGGGATTCGAATTTACAATTCACGACCAAGGTACCCAAAGTATCAAAGTATCAAAGTCTGTATCATTTTGTCTTTCATATTAAGTATTAAATCGAGCTAGATTTAATATTTGTGTAGCTAAATAAGTTTCCTTGTTCACATAAATTATACGAGTACCTAATAAATAAGCGAAACTTACATTCAAAGCGAAATTTCAAAATAAATGATTAGACAATTTGAGTATTATATGTTGGCTACATTTATCTGTTATATCTTTTGTTCGTAAAACGGTAGAGATATATGTCTTGCAGTGGCGTGTAGGTATTATTGAAGTGCCATAAACTTAAATGGGGTGTATTATACACTGTGTCACACGCATAGAACTAAGCATTTGAACTATAGATTTGCATTAACTATTCATAAATCATAATGAAGCTGGTCCGGCCGGCTCAGGCTTGCTATTCCGTTGTTCCTCTAATGTACCTTTGTGGTGTGCTCGTAAAATGAGGGTGAGTGAACGGAAACCAATACCACTATTGAAGAGAACTGTTCAATCACTCGACTAGACTTTTATAAATTAATTGGATTTAAAAAGTCTTAGTTTATAAAAATATTTTGTGTAGACCACTAATTTATTTCTCGCTGTTATATTAAATTATATACCTATTTTCTTTTTTAAATTAAGAGGATTTTTTTTTTTTTTTTTTCTTTAATCTAAAACCATGTTGTTCACAAACGCCCATTCTTGATTAAAACACTTATTGTGATTTAATTGATTTAAGAACTCTGCAATTAGTATTCAAGCTCTCATAAAAGAGCTTGAGTAATTTTACTTATGTACGATAGATAGACTTTGTTACTGAATTTGTATAAACTGGCGAAGTTGGGGTATTAATTCGGTACAAAACCTTTAGTAGAGCACATTAGCCTACTAAAGTCAGACATTAAATTTAACGGTCTTCCCTAGGAACAACCTTAAATAGAATAAATTACATTAAAACATTACATTATTTATTAATTTTTCCATCAAGGCAATGATAAAGTATGATATGATTAGTGGACAATTTAGATTCAATTTAATTTGGTCCTCATTTGGCCTCCTTACATGTTTTATCTTTTACTAACTTATAAAGCGACTTCGTCTGCGTGTTCCCGTATTATACTATTTCTTGAATGACTCTGTACCTATTAGTGAAAATTGCATTAAAATCCGTGCGCTGTTTAAATTTCTTTTACACTATGTATAAATTCTAAATTTTCCAAACCAGTATTATTCTCAACCTTAACTGGTGGTCCGCGGAGCTTCGTAAAATTATTATTGCTATGTAAAAAAAATCAATAATTTTATGGGTATTTAATTTAAAGAAAGTATAACATTAATACTCTATCTACGTAGACTTAAGTACAGATTTATGTACAGGATATTATAAATTAAGTGGGTTCAGTTCATAGCTAGCTTTGTGTACCTAGGAAAAAAATATATAACAAATTCAATCCGTGGCTGCCAGACAAGATAGAAAATGGTATCTGATGACTAAAAGG